CTTTGGGCTTGAAGGGTTTCCTCTGATAGGACTTCTGTAAATCTAAGGGGTGATTCTTTGTATGTGATTTTCTTCTTTGACCTTGCTGCTTGCATTATTGTTTCTCTACCCATGGCATCCATCATTCTGACTATGATATGCCTTTTTATTAGGTCTCTTTTAGCTGGTACACTTCTGCCTCTTTGGATCTGAATCCCTGCATTCTCCAGCTCTGGGAACTTCTCCGTGATGATATCTTTAACTGTGGCTTTTTCATTGGGTTTGCCTCCCTGTCCTTCTCGTACTCCAACGATTCTCGTGTTGTTCCTCTTGATTTCATTCTCTAGGACTCTGATTCATCCTAAAGCTATTTTGAGGTCTTTTCCCATTGTTTGTTATTGCCTATAAGCGTTCTTCTGCTCATCTTCAAGCTTACTTATTCTGTCTTCAGCTGTAGTCATTCTACTGTTGAGGACACCCACTGAGTTTTTTATTTCACCTACCGATGCTTTTATTTGTGACATTTCTATTTGCAGCTTTTTTAGTTCTGCGCTCATTTCTTCCTGAGTTTTATTGGCTGTCCATTCCATTATTCGTTTCATGTCCTCCTTTAACTTGCTGAATGTATGTTCCACCTTTTCTTTGAGTTCATTGAACATCTTCAACATTTCATCTCTGAATTCTTTTTCGGAGACATCCTATTTGTGGGTAATTCCTGTTGAGCACTCTGGACTCTTCTTCATCCTCTCCCCGTGGTGGGGATTGTTTCTTCAAGTTGTTGTGGTGGTATGGAGGTGGGACCTTCCTGTTCACTATCAGTATTCTTCTCTTGCTTTGAGAAAGGATTCTGGATGAGCTTGGTTGATGGAGGTGGCTGTTTCAGTATACTTTGATTGGACTAGGCCAGTGGTCTATAGCCTAATGTGTTTGGGATAGTCAGGATGTCCACTTTAGAATAAGGAAATGGAGGTTTAGCTGTGAGTCCAATGTGCTGGGAAAGGGGGAAATAAGCTGCCTCTCAGAGGCTACACAAAGCATGCTGCCATACCTGTGGGTGGGAGGGGCCGCTTATGTCCCTGCTGCTGTCATCTAATACCCTCTGAGGTGCTCCTGAAGTTTCTGGGCGCCATCTTTTGGCGGTGCTCCGCATTTGCCTCTGCTGGGGCTGGGGTCTTGCAAGGCCCTGAGGTTGGGTCTGGGCCCATGGTTTGTATTTAAATTAGGATTAAGCTGTGATTATATAGTACCTTGAAAAAGAACCTAATTAATCATCACTAATAAAACTGATAAAAAATAGGGAAAAAGTTAGTACATTGATTTGACAATAATGCTGAATTATCTTTTTCCAAAGGAAAGTCATAGTACATAACAATAGTAAATTGGTCATATAAAGACAAAAGATAAAATTGTTATTTTTAGCAAATGGATAGCTTAATGTATGAAAACAGCTTACAAGAAAAAAGTACTAGTTGACATGAAAAAAATTGCAATAACTTGCTTTGAGAAATTGATGCATTTTTTTCCAAGACTGATGGTGTAATTTACTCTAATTTAATAAGGTAAAGATAAAGGCCCTCCCGTTGATCATCGATTTGCTCGAGTGGGCCCAGTAACGTCTCCATTGGAGACTTCGTTGTTACTGTGTTTGGCATATCGAATACTCTCGTATTCGATAATCGAATACTCTCGGTAGCTTGCCGGACTCTCCGAGAGGAGCGGAGGAATCGAACTTGGGTAGGCCATGTTGGCCACTTGTAAGGCGAATGCCCTACCCGCTGTGGTATCGCTCCAGAAGTTTTCTTTATGCACTCTAATTGTGAACAAAAGAACTATCGCCTTCTTGTAGTTACTTATATAAAAGTAGCAACAAAATTAGATTAAAAACCACCCTAACATAAAGTCATCTAAAACATGAAATATTTTATGAACTTTTGATCAAGATGCATGCCCCTAGACACAGGTGAAATTAATATGTATAATTTTATTAGAATATGTATAATATAATTATTGTATAATTGCTACAGGCTATAACTTTTACTTAAATTTCAACTTTAACTTCTAACTGAGAAAGACAGTTCTTAACATATTACTCTTGAACCATGTCAATAATATTTTAAATTCTGTGCCAATAACTTCTATATTTAAACTTGTAGGAAAAGTCAAATGTATATAATGAACTTTGTCATTTTACCTTTTAATTAAAATGATCTCCTTCAAAAATGTGGCTAAATCACTTTTCGCAGTTAACCACATACTTCTTTATTGTCTTGAAAAAAATTTTTTCAATTTTACACTTAGTAATAGCAATTTTCTACCTTGAATAATGGAAACTTCTGAACATGCCTCCTTTCTCCTCACAGACAGTGGAGTCACTGATGATAGGAAATTGTGTCTTTGTTTATTTTGTTCATTGAACATGCCTGTCGTGATGACTTGGGGGAAAGTACATCTAGACATTTCTTCTGGCATTGAGAAAGAAATCAGCTCCCGGGGGTAGACTAAACCAAAACTCCACTCAGAAACTGCATATTTTCTAAGTGTGGCTCTGGGTGGTCTCATGGATTACTGGAAATAATCTATTAAAAGTCTTCTCAAATATAACTAGCATTAGGGCACCCAAAGAGCTCAATGATAAATTTTAAAAAAGGAACTCTTCTCATAAAAATGTTCTCATCTACTTGGATAAAATTTCCTCCACTTGGATGTTAAAAGCTCCATTTAAACAGTTATAGTAAATTTACTTCTTATAATATGTTCAGCAACGTCATTTTGTTGAGCACAGTCTTTAGGGAGGAAGGTCAATTCCACTGTTCTCTAAGGTAAATGTGGTCTTTGATTTTTATCTTTGTCCTTTTAAGAATTTTATTATATCTATATGCATTGCTGTTGTTATCATTACTGAATGCTAGGTGATCAGTTTATTTCTTCCAGTGGTTTTCCAGTTCTCTGTCGTTTCTTATACTGTGTAAGTGTTTTAGATAGAAGTACAAAATTCAATTACATCATAAAAAATAGGGAATACAGATGACCAAGAAATTTAGTCAAAGTCATATATTGGGACCCAGATGCTCAATTCTACAACTGCACTTCTGTAGCTGCAAGTGTCTCCTATTCCAAATGGGAAATAGTTGCTCCCACCTTCATTCCTGAGCAAACTGATCCATCAGTGTTTCCACAAAAGAGGAATGGAACTAGAACAGTGACCTCAAACAGGAGCCTAAATGTTAGCTGCCTTTCAGTCAAAGAATCAAGAAAGTCTTTATCCACCTTTAAGGCACCTTTATAATACAGAACCCCCACTAGAGCAAGTCAAGAAGTCACGAATCTCCCAAACTAGTTTAATCTGTTTAATCTGGGACTAAATACCTAAACTAGCTCAATCAAGAGGTAAAGTACACTCCTGATTTAGTTTAATCTGGATCTTCAACAGTTGCAACTAGAGATTTCACTTAAGCTGCATCACCACTTGTGCCTTGTCACCTTCACAAGAGCCCTGGCAAAGAACTAGAATTTGTAATATTTCCTTTGTCCATAAAATAAGAAATCATAATATTTGTCCATTGTCTGACCAAAAGTCATGATAGAATTTACAGATACTGTGTATTTTTATTATCCATTCATGGGCTTTTCCTAATCTCAAGTTTTAACTAATGCACATGTATACAACTGGGATGTCCAGACCAGGAGTAGCAACAAGGTATAGTAACATTACTCTTAACAGTTATCAGAGATATTATTCATAACAGTATAAGTCATAGTGCCTAAATAATCGTTTTAAAATTGGGGTAAAATAAATGACCTAAAGAAACAGTATATCATTGACTGAAAAGATAATACAGACTCTTTTGAACTATTGATCACAAAATATGAAGTATAGCAGAAGTAATAAACAGCCACAAAAGGGGTTTCCCCAATAACACTTAAATCTCAATAAAATTAATATCTTATATATGATCCAGAAAGATAAACTATGCCTTTCAAAGCTTATTTTAAACTAATTCTTGCTGAAAAGGTAAAATTTAAATGTGTAATGAGTTTTATATCTAGAGGTGAAGAGACAGTATAGTGGGTGGGGCATTTTCCTCGCATGCAGGCAGCTTGGGTCTCATTGCTGGGCCACCTATTGTCCTTTGATGCCTCCCAGGAGAAATCCTTGAGGCCAGAGTGAGGAGTTAGTCTGAGCACAACTGGGTGGGTCCAAAAACCAAAGGGAAAAAATCATCTTCAAATAAAAGAGTATCATGAATCTGAAGAGAGTGAATAGTGGTCATGAAGGTATTTTGTAGAATATCACATCTGTAATTTGCTCCTCCCGTTTTTCATCAATTTGCTTGAGCGAGCACCAGTAACATCTCCATTGTGAGACTTGTTGTTACTGATTTTGGCATATTTAATACGTCACCGGTAGCTTGCCAGGTTTTGCCGTGCAAAAATTGTTTTAATATATGGGGAAATACATGAATGAATATGAGTTAAGCGTAGGATGCAAAACTTGCAGTAGTCAATCAGAAAAATTCTTATTAAAAACAGGGGAGGGGACCGGAGCCATGGTACAGCACTACCTGGGACAATAAAGGCACCTCTCCTCTTCACCCCCTTCCCAGGCAAAACAGGAACCAATACAGTCCAAAGCATATTTATTGGCTAAAGTAAAAATCATCCTTTCTAAAGTGTAAAAATGTAGCTTTATCAATAAGTCATTTATTGATGCCTGATTTTTGTCAGTGTGAGCTTGGTTTATACAGTAGAAACCAAGAAGTTTAGTGTTTCCTAATTGCTAGACAAAAACAACCAACCTTCATTCTGCTTGATTATCAAGCAAAGGCTGTGTGTGGAAAGGTCAGAAGCACTTATTCTTGATTACTTGTCCCCGAGACAAGGTCACAGCTTCTGAGAATTTTTCACTCCCTGGGATATCACAAATATGAGAAGGGATTCCTTTCAACATGGCAAACACCTTCTGGGTCTTTATCCTAACACTTCAGATCCTCATCACAAAGTGACAGCTTTCTGACACTTACCGAAAATTGTCCCCAGTGTCAGGAATTTGACTGCATTGAATTCGGTCCCCGAGGACAGGATGACATGTGTCCTTGTATTCTGGTTAACCTATTAGACATCCACCAGCGTTGTCCATTCAAAATGGTGAACAATTTTGATAATAAAAATGAGACAAAAATCATTTAAAAAATCAAATCATATGTTAATGATATTAGAAAGTTCAAGGGAGAAAGCTGTTTTATAGAAAATTTTCATAATATATCAAATTCTACTCCACCCTTTCCCTTAATTTTTTCCCCAGGTTAAGTACCTACCATAGATATATAATCAACAAAGAAATGTAATGAAATATTTCAAATCTTAAAATTTTTATTATTTTCAAAAGGAAATTTCAAAAAGGAGATAGTATCCACTGTACTATCTCTCTAGTCTAGATATAAAATTCATTATACATTTAAATTTTACCTTGTTACCAAGAATTAAATTGAAATAAGCTTTGAAAGACACTGCTTATCTATTTTGATCATATGCAGACCATTTATTTTATTGAGATTTAAGTGTTATGGGGGGAACCTTTTGTGGCTATTTATCACCTTTACTATGATACTTCATGTTTTGTTCTCAATGGCCCAAAATAATCTGTATTGTAACATGTACAGAAAACAAATATAGTGATTGAATATATAGATTATTCTTCAAAACACTTTTCAAATGCATAATTTAAATAGTCATTTTAAAAATATATTCTCAGTCTCAGCCGGGTCTTACTTTCTCTGTTGAATTAAAATACTGGTAGCACTGATTCTTTTGTCATCCAGTGGAAAATGTTCCCTTAGGAATGGGACCAATAGTCACTGTGATAAGCTGGACAACATTTCCATACCAAAGAAAAGGACAGCTGAGTATTTTAAATGGTCACATATTAATTACATTTAATAGGCTAAATAACAACTAATATCAAACAATAATACATGCTGTTTATTGTCCTTGAAAGAACTATGGAAGTCTGCCAAAAGCATAGCTCTTTTCTTAGCATTTATTATCAAATGGACCACTTCTCTGAAAGTCACATTCTAAATTACTATTGATGCTGTTGTGTTTACTGTCTTACCTCTACAAAGACTGCGGCTGCTTCTCTGCTAATTGTCACCCGATGAAATTTCCCATCAGCCATAGTTTTAGAGCCAAGATTAAAAATATCAGGTTCTTGGTGTCTGTCTAGTTTATAAGTGATATGCAAACTTCCTAAAGAAGGGGGAAACGGCATTTTAAACTAAAACAGAATTTCATAAAGAGAAAAGGAAAAAAAAACCCTTCCAGTGTGAAACCTAAACCTTTTACTTGTTGTTCAGTTCAATTTAAATCTAATGTGTATTTATTTGGGCTCACCTGATAATTAATATTTCTATTCAATAGAGCCAGTCTGAGTTGGGGAAAGACCCAGAATCAGGCTCTCACCAGGCTGTTCGAGGCAGGAATAGGAACCTGCAGGCGGGCTTGTAAGAAAACCCAAGACAAACCAGGACTAAAATATGACCTGTGACCACTTAAAATTTCCACTGATCAGAACAGCACTCACTTGTGTGAAAAGGACCCCAGTATAGAATGGCTTTTTTTTTTTCAGATATAAGCTTTTCCATCCTAAGAGACAGTAAACCAAAGAACAAGTGTTTATTGAGCCTATGTCTTCTGGATTATGTCTGTACCAGGGTTGTTGTAATTTACTGGATTTTGATCTTTTTGTGTACACATCCTGTCATTGTCACTGTCCTCCCGTTGTTCGTCGATTTGCTCGAGTGGGCCCGGTAACGTCTCCATTGGAGACTTTGTTGTTACTGTGTCTGGCATATCGACTACATCACGGGGAGCTTGCCAGGCTCTGCCGTGCGGGCGAGATACTCTCGGTAGCTTGCCGGGCTGTCCGAGAGGGGCGGGGGAATCGAACTCGGGTCGGCCATGTTGGCTGCAAGCAAGGCAAACGCCCTCCCGCTGTGCTATCGCTCCAGCCCTGAAGGCCAAATTCAGAGTGCCCTATTTTACTCTTAATTTCAATAGTAACGACCTAACTGTCTCATTTATTTTGTGTTTTTACTTTTTGGGTCACACCTGTGGGTGCTCAAGGCTTAATCTTGGCAGGGCTCAGGGAACCATGTACTATTGATGACTGAACTACATAGGGGGAAGCACACCACCACTGTACTATCTCACTGGCCTAAAATGTCTCTTTTTTCAGTTTTTCTTACATAAGGTAGAAATTTAAGTTAAACATAAGAAAATTAAAGCTTGGTTCTCAGTTAATTATTCATGTGGTATTCATATTACTAAATGATAAAACCTCTGGCAATAATACATTAACATTCACTTTCCATAAACATAACTTCTTTTAATGTCGCTTATTTTGATGCATTTTAAATCAGTACCTGAAATACTGAAACACTGTCCTCCCGTTGTTCATCGATTTGCTCGAGCGGGCCTAGTAACATCTCCATTTTTTGAGACTTGTTGTTACTGTGTTTTGGCATATTGAATACGTCACAGGTAACTTCCCAGGCTTTTCCGTGCAGGCAAGATACTCTTGGTAGCTTGCCAGGTTCTCCGAGAAGGGTGGAGGAATTGAACCTGACTCAGCCTGGCTGACTGCATTCAAGGCAAACCGCCCTATCACTGTGCTGTCTGCATTTGCATAACTAAGTTTTGCAATTGCTCAAATTTTCTACTAATGTTTCTGAAGAATCAAGAAACAGGAAAAATAAGATAGATGTTATTGATCTGCCATGATATGCAAATCCCTCTGAAGAGTGTACTATCACTCTTTTGTCCCTCTGCTTTCCTCCTTGGAAGGGAAACTTCCTCTTCTTTACTCTCTCCTTCTAAAGTAATCAGTGAGAGATAATAGCAAGCTTTCTGAGCACTCAGCTTCCACATGCTCAAGGAAGCAAGGTTGTAGCCTGATTCTTTTCTCTAACTGAGCATCTTAGAATGATTTGGTAATCAAGTGTTGAGTAATAACTCGCTTCGTTTTGGATACAGATATGACATAAATAAGTGATGAGTTAGGTAAATCTTATTCATCTCATACTTATGGATATCAGCATACTTTGTTTGCTTTCTTCTTTTATTTTTTTTTCGGGGGTGGTGGTTAGACCAAACTTGGTGGTGCTCAGGAATTTCTCCTGGCGATGCTCAGGATTTACTCCTTTCTCTATACTCATGTATCACTCAGGGGAACATATGTAATGCCAGGGATCAGAATACAGATTCACAGAGTGCAAGGCAAGTAGCCTACATACTGTCCTATCACACTAGCCCCTGTTAGCTTATCTTTTCTTTTCCGGTTTTACCCAGTGGTGCTCAGAGCTTACTCCGGGCTCTGAGCTCAGAGATGGCTCCTTGTCATACCATGCAACCATTTGCACTGCTTGGAGTCAAACCCAGGTTAGCTGGTGTAAGACAAGTTTCTTTCATGCTGTGCTATCTTTTGGCCCCTTAAACCATATAATACTATCTTTTATGAGGTTTAATGCAGCTCCTTGCTTAGATGGAGGAAATATTTTATGTAAAAAAAAATCTTATTTCCTGGAAACCTATCCCTTGCTCATAGATCGGGAGAATTAACCTTACCAAAATGACACTACTCCCCAAGGCATTATACAGAATCAATGTGGTCCCTATAAGGGTACCCATGACATTCTTTAAAAAAATTGACAAAACATTCATAAAATTCATATAGAAAAATAATGTCCCACAAATAGCTAAAGCAATTCTTGGGGAAGAGTAGATAGGTTGCATCATCTTCCCCAACTTCAAACTGTACTACAAAGCAGTAGTAATTAAAACAGCATGGTATTGGACTAGAAACAGACCTGCAGACCAATGGAACAGAGTTGAATATTCTGACACAGCCACTCAAGTATATGATCACTAAACCTGTGACAAAGGAGCAAGAAACGTGAAGTGAAGCAAGGAAAGCCTCTTCAGCAAGTGGTGCTGGGAAAACTGGATAGTTATCTGAAAAAAAAATTGAGCTCAGATCTCTGTCTTGCAAGGTCCCTTGGGACCCAGAGGGAGATTCCAGAGTTAAAACTCTACTAATCAGTAACTCTCCATTTCCTGCCCCCTCCCTAGTAGAGCCTTAGCTGTGAAGCCCTTCCTTATTGGGATGTAAATTCTGAAACTATTTGTTGACTCTTCCCTGCTGGGATGTAAATTCAGAAACCATTTGTTGGCCCTTCCTTATCTGTTACCTCTGTTAGGAACTTTTCCCTTATCCTCTTCCACCAAATCAAATCTAGCCAGGTGTTAACCAAATGTTGGAGTTACCCACTAGCCCACTAGCCACAATACCTATGTACGTAAATGCTGATCTTTGAATCTATAGACTAAGGAGTGATGTACTTTTAAATGGATTGGTTAAGAAAGTATATGTTGTTACAAATCTATTGGCTATGAAATGCACGGGCTTTGGTATAATGGCCAGTGAAGGCCTATATAAGATCCCCTTTGAAGAAGTTTGGGGGTCTTGTCTCACCTATCTGACCTGCATGTCTGTGTAGGCGGCTTGACCCTGGCTAGCCAGTCTTACAATAAACCTTGCTTGCTGTTTGCAGTCTCTGGAGTCTCTTTGTTGTTAAAGGGAGATCAGGATCCGCGTCCTAACAGTCTAACCCCAAGCACAAAAGTTAGATCAAAATGGATTAAAGACCTAAGTATCAGGCCTGAATCCATAAGGCACATGGAGGAAAATGTAGGCAGAGTCCTCCACTATAATTGAAGCTAAAGGCATCTTTAAGGATTAAACACCACTGGCCAAGCAAGTGGAAGAAAACATAAACTAAGAAGCTACATTAAACTAAGAAGCTTCTACACTGAAAAAAAAACAGTTACCAAAATACAAAGAGAGTCCACTGATTGGAAAAAATTATTTATCCAATACCTGTCAGTAAGTTGTTAATACATAGGATATACAAGACATTAGTAGATCTGTGCCAAAAAATCCTCCAACAGCACCAAAATGGGGAGAGGAAATAAACAGAAACTTCCTTAAAAAGGAAATACAAATGGCCAAAAGACACATGAAAAACTGCTCTTCATCACTAATCATCAGGGAGATGCAAATCAAAACAACAATAAGATATCTTACAACAGAGTGACTGACACACATCAAAAAGAACAAGAACAAGCAGTGCTGCTGAGGATGTGGGGATAAATGAACTCTCTTTCATTGTTGGTAGAAATGCTGACTGGTCCAGCCTTTTTGGAAAACAATATGGGCATACCTCAAAAAACTAGAAACTGAGCTTCCATATGAGCCAGCAATACCAGTTCTGGGAATATATGCCGGGTTGCAAAAGTGCACAGTAGAAATGACATTTGCACCTGTATGTTCATTGCAACGCTGCTCACAATAACCAGAGTCTGGAAATAACACATGTGCCCAAGAACAGATGAATGGTTAAATAAATTTTGTTATATATACACAATGGAATAACATATAGCTGTTAGGAAAGATAATGTCATGAAATATCCTTATAAGTGAATGAACATGGACAGTATCATGCTGAGTGAAATGAGTCAGAAAGAGAAAGACAGACATAGAATGACTGCACTTGTTTGTGGAATATAAAATAACATAATATAAGATTAACAACCAAAGACAGTAGAGTCAAGGGCCAGGAAGATTGTTCCAAGGTTGGAATCCTGCCTTACAAGCTGGGGGAGAAGACAGCCAGGATAGAGAAGTGATTACTAAGTCAATGATGGTTGGAGGGATAGCTCAGACTGGGAGATGTTTTCTGAATGTAGATAAAGGGCTGGAGTGATAGCACAGCGGTAGGGTGTTCGCCTTACAAGCGGCCAACATGGCCGACCCGAGTTCGATTCCTCCGCCCCTCTCGGAGAGCCCGGCAAGCTACCGAGAGTATTCGATATGCCAGACACAGTAACAACAAAGTCTCCAATGGAGACGTTACTGGGCCCGCTCGAGCAAATCGACGATCAACGGGAGGGCCTTTACCTTTACCTTTAGATAAAGGACCAAACATGATGACTTCTTAGTATCTATATCTAAACCATAATGCCCAAAAGTACAGAGAGAGTAAGAATAAAATTGTCTGCCATAGAGACGGGTTGGTGTCGTGTGGGGGTGGATACTGGGGACATCTGTGGTGAAAAAATTTATGACTGAAACTCAATTATGAAAGCTTTGTAACTATATCTCAAGGTGATTCAATAAAAATGCTAATAAATTTACATACCAGATAAAAAATTTGTTTCCAAATTACCTGAAAAAGTCATTTAGATTATTATTTTTTTTAATTTTTTTAATTTTTTTTTATTAGTGAAACACCATGAGGTACAGTTGTAGATTTACAATTTTTTGTGCTTGGGTTTGATTATACAATGATCAGATACCCATCCCTCCACCAGTGCCCATTTTCCACCACCATGGATAATATCCCCCCCACCCCCATCCCCCCATCCCCCCATCCCCCCTGCCTCTGTGGCAGGGCAATCCCCTGTGTTCTCTCTCTCCTTTTGGGTGTTGTGGTCTGCAAAAGAGGCATTGAGTGGCAAACATGTTCAGTCCATAGTCCACTTTCGACATGCATCTCCCCTCCTGGGAGGGTCCTCCAAACACCCTTTATTTGGTGTTCCCTTCTCTATCTGAGCTGCCCTTTCCTCTAGAATGCCCGACTGGCCACTAAGCTATGGAGTAATCCTCCTGGTGCTGATCTCAGCTATTCTTGGGTATTATTCTCATATTTTGTTACTTTATATCCCCCAGATGAATGCAATCTTTCTATGTCTATCCCTCTCTTTCTGACTCATTTCGCTTAGCATGATACTTTCCATGTTGTACCACTTGTATGTAAATTTCATGACTTCATCTTTTCTAAGAGCTACATAGTACTCCATTATGTAAGTCATTTAGATTATTGATGAACAGAAAAATACATCCTGGGAGTACTTTTATGTTGATCTCATAAAATGATCAGCATTTTATGGAAGACTCATTTGTTTATTCATTAAAATGTGGACATTATTTACACTTATTTGTGATAATAAGTGAAGCCTAATAAATAGAGATGTGTAGGCCACCCAATTATGTTGCACCTTAACATGAAAGGACCCATCCCTACATGGTGCTAACTTTCAATTTCATTCTTTTTAGTCTTACACTACAGACACTCACCATTTGTGGTGAGGATCACAGAAAAGTATTCCTCTGAGAAGGCCCCAACAAAGAGCAGTAGGGAGGGAAGCCCTGTTGTCCTGAAGCTTATCGCGGTCTCTTCTCCTGTCAGTGTTAGATCTTCATGGGATCCAGTTGCAAAGGAGCTGGTGTTCTTGCTGGGGGTGTGGTTGTAAGGTCCTTGAAAACTGTAAGTGATTGATGAGCCAGTTCTTAAATATGCAGAAACCTCTGGAATGACACACATATAACTGTTATATGTAAAAGCAAAAGACTTTTTAAAATTGAGTCCTTGTGATGCAGAGTTGCAAAGCTATTCATCCTTGCATTTCATACAATGTTTCAACACCCATCTCTCCATCAGTGTATATTTCCAACTAGTTCCCTCCCCCACACCTCTTCTCTAACCTGCCTCAATGGCATAATATTTTCCTCTCTGTCTCTGTCTTTCTGTCTCTGTCCCTCTCTATCTCCTTTTGAGCATTATGGTTAAATGCAAGAGTCTTGATCTATTTATATTTAGAGACTACCTAAGAGAGAAAACAAGAATGACATCATTTTTACATGTTTTCTTGTTTAAATTTAGTTTGGATATTTTGGTTTGGGGGCCACACTCAGCAGTGTTCAGGCTTCTCTATACTCAGTGCTCAAGCATCACTTAGGGAAGTTCTCAAGGGACCATTTGGTGCTGTGATTGAATCCCTTCCTCCTACAGGTGCAACTAGCCCTCAGATGTCTTACCTACTCGTGTGTGTGGGCTTTCACATTAAAAGGTTAAATTCTATTATTGGGAATGCTAATTCAAGTAGCCATCATGTATTGTTTACCTATTATGTATTGGCTATAATGGATAGCCAACACTAATTGGGAAAATAGTATTTCAAAACTTAAAAATAGAATTACCATATTATTCAGCGATTACACAGTTGTGACATTACCTGAAGAATGTGCACATATCCATGTAAAGAGATATATTTATTAGACATGTGCAGATCCCTGCTCATCACATCATTATTCATAATCACCAAGGGCTGGAAACAATCTAAGTGCCCATACATGGATGAATAAATAAAGATGCTGTGTGCAGAATTCATGAGAGAACGTTATTCAGCTGTGAAAAATGAATTCATGTCAATTGCAAAAACATGGATGGCTCCAGAGGATATCATACTCATTGAAACAGAAAACTAAAAACTAGATGATTTCACTCAGGTAGCAGCTAAAGAAAATAAACAAATGAATAAATCAAATCAACTTTCTATTTATCTTCCTAGATCCAAATCATCTTGTAGACTATAGAAGCAAAATAGCATTTACCAGAAGAGAAGATGGAACTTTTCACTAGACCTCAGGTTATGAAGTCCTTTATATTTATTACTGTGTATATATCTATAATTATATATAAATTACTGTCTATATATACTAAAAACTACATAATCTTATAGACCAATATTAATTCAGTGTAAATGGTCAAACTTTGCAATATTGATACAAAGATTGTACCAATCCTATCATAGACCCAAATCAAATGACATTTATTGATGATCCAATATGCTTCATTTCATGATCACTAAAAGTCCAGTTTAGACAGAGTGGAGGTTATGAGTCTCCTCGTGGCACTGCACTGAGGGGCCTCTGAGGACTGGCACCAAGATCTCACAGGATAGTCTTCGTGGTCTGCAAACTGAGCCTGGTCTCTTCTCCAGTTAAACAGCAAGATGGAGACAGAGCCCATGGAGATGTTTCTGCAGGCCATATACCACAGCATAATTTTATGCTTTCCATCCCCGGTATCCCTGTCCCAGGTTCCACTCACCATGGAAGCAGAAGGGCCCATCATAAGCAGAGGAGGTGCAGTCACACACGAATCCCTTTGGCCTCTCCTGGCAGAGGCCTCCATTGTGGCACAGATGTCCATAGCTAGCACAGTGACCTGGGCATCCTGGCTCCACACCTGGGGTCACTGTGGCTCTATCTTCCAAGTCCAAGGCCAGCCCATTCAAACGCAGGGCCCGGATGCACCCCAGAAATCCTCTCTGCCTGGTTGCTGTACCTCCTGCCAGAGAAACACCCCAGAGGTGTCATAGTCCTGTGTCTTGTCATACTAATATTCCAGGGCAAATATATGACAGTACTAACACTAAAATACTGCCCCATGTGTTATGTGGTTTTGATCATATGTGGTTTTGAAAATATAGACTCTAGTCAATTTAAAAATCATCAAACAACAATATGGAAACAATATGGTTACATATTCTAACAGTATTTTTCATGTTTCATTTTGATTTTTGACATTAATTCCTTTATAAACAATGAAATATAAACTATCATTGTTTATATATACAATGATAGTTTATATTTCATTGTTATAAAAGGAATTCTTTCAAAGTGATCCTTTGAAAAGTGATCCTTTTCAAAATTTATACTCAATGAAGTATGTGTGGAATACAGTTACATAATTAAAAATCTTTCCAATATATTATAAAATTATAGATTAGAATGCATAGAAAATATTACAGTTGTAATTTTGAAATATAAATATGCATTGCAAATTTATGTGCATTGTTTTGTAATCTTTGTGATTTATTATGTAATTAATATCATTATTGCTGGGCTGTTGCGATAGCACCGCGGTTGGGCATTTGCCTCGCACGCAGCCAACATGGCCGACCTGAGTTTGATTCCTCTGCCCCTCTCAGAGAGCCTGGCAAGTTACCGAGAGTCTCCCACCGGCATGGCAAAGCCTGGCAAGCTCCCCATGATGTATTCGATGCCAAACACAGTAACAACAAAGTCTCCAATGGAGACGTTATTGGACCCGCTCAAGCAAATCGATGAACAACTGGAGGACCATGACTGTGAATATGTAATAATATAATTTTATAATTTGTTTTGACTATCATATATTGAACTATATAATAATACAAATAGCATATCTAAAATTTTTCTTTATATAACACAAATATTTATATTAGAGATCTCTCTATTAATGAAGCTTTAGAAAGGAATCAAGGAAAGAGCAAAGAAAAAGAAATTTGAGACAATATCTATGGCTTCAGCTTATCTTATCTATCATAACAATCTGAAGCTGGATGGTTTGAATACTACCTGAATAATAAATACTTTCCATTCATCACATCTTATGTAAGCCTAAGACAATTATTCTTACCTGTTGGGGGCTAGAGCAATAGCATAGTGGGTAGGGCGTTTGCCTTGTGCATGGCAGACAAGGCCAACACAGGTTCGATTCCTCAGCCCCTCTCAGAGAGCCTGGCAAGCTACCGAGAGTATCTTGCCTGCACGACAAAGCCTGGCAAGCTACCCGTGATGTATTCAATATGCCAAACACAGTCACAACTAGTCTTACAATGGAGACGTTACTAGGCCCTCTCGCGCAAATCAATGAACAATGGGAGGACAGTAACAGTGACAGTTGGGAGCACAGGTGAAAGCTGGAAACTTGTTTTAAAAACAAATCTGAGGTGTCATTCTAGAGATTCAACTCAATACTGGGATATGGGAGTTACCCAAAATGTGAATTTTCAGCTAAGTTCTCAGGCTTCAGTAATATTACCCTAGGGGATAATGTTAATTTGGAGTAGATTTTTCATAAATTCTTTTCTAAAATTTAACATTTCATTAGTTCTTTCTCTAGACTTGAAATCGGAAGATAGAGCTATTTAATATAATCTGCAATAATTAATTGAAGGACACTCTAGCTCGGTAAGAACTGATTATGCTTGAAGTTGAATTTTATGATTCCATGAACTGTATACATACATAGTTTAACTCACTGCATGGCATTAGACTCATAGATGCTGGAGGTATACTCTGGCAAAACAGACTGTATGCTAGTTTGTGATTTTTGTCTGTATCTAATTGGGTTGTGTCCTTATTTACTTAGAAATGTCTCATGTAAAACATAAAAAAAAAAAGCCAAGTAAGAGTGAATCCTTTAATCTGCTTAGTTTCCAAATCACACTACTATTGTCTGAAATATAATGTAGCAAAAATCATTTTTACCCCATTGAAGAAACTAACAGCAGTGAAACAATAAGCACGAAAATTAAGAGAGAATATTTCTAAGACTCAGATATTTAATGTTTAGAAAAGGATTATGAGGAAAAAGGAGAAAGCTTGGGCCCTAAATATGGTGCATGATATGGGACCAAAGGGAGGTGCAGAGAGAATTGAGGCTCAGGCAGATGAGAGTCGTTCATGGATAAACACCCTGAGCGATGTCTGCATGACCCCTCAGATCTGTTTCCCAGGAGACAGATGATGACTGGGTCCCAGTTACAGTGCATGTTCTCTAACTCCCCTGAGAGGCAAAGTAGGAGAAATAGACAAAAATTGGCAAGAGTTTTACAAAGACCATTGTTAAGAAGTGACTGAAAGAAGTACAAATAGACTCTATATGATATTGAGTGCAAACATGGGAAACAGTTCAATACAAGTTTAGAATTTTCTTTTGGTTGTATATGTGGTCAAGCCCCTTGATCCCTCTGGATCTCCACCCAACACTATATGTTAAATATGGAGACCTGAGATCATGGAGCCCATAGTAGTATTGTTTTGCCATTGCTATGGTAACTATTTATAGTAACCATTGTCTCTTGGTCATTGAATCTATTCCCAGCACTGCATAGTTATGAATGATAGCACTCACCGACAAAGAGCTGGCTGTTGAATTGTAAGCGGGAGTGCCCATCAGCAGGGCCCGACTGGGTTCTGACAGGGAGCTGATCCACTTGGAGAGTTGCTTCCTTAATGTTCCTCTCTGCCTTCACATAGTGCCACCGATTGTCATTCAAGGGGGTAGAGGACTTCACTTTGACTTCACAAGGTCCATTTCCCACATCAAATGAAAAGGTCACTTCCGCAGAAGCTAGAAATATAGATGTGAGTTGCTTATGGTCATTCACAAGGAGAAAATATGACTTGAGTAGATGTGAGAAGAGTATGGTGACAAGCTCGCTTAAAGGGGACCTTGGGCTAAAACAGACTGCCATTCCCAGTTGGCTTAAGAGCAAAATAAGTCTGTACCTGGAGGGAGAAAGCAAAACTATTTTAGCATATTCCTTCTCAGGTGCACTATTCATCTTGCTAAGTAATTACTAAATATTTAGTACTAAAATGAACAAGTTACCTGGTTTAATATGACAAATGTATTCATGTAAAAACGGTTTAAATCTTCACATAACTTTATTGCATGCACTGTATGAAATTTTGGAAGCAAGAAATTAACCTCTGCACAAAACAATTATAATATACCTAATGAATTATATCAAACAGTTTCATAGCCTAGTAGGATGCTATTTGGCCCATTTGGTGTCAAATTCTGATTATACAAATTGCTATTCACAACACAAAATTGGCATAGGATATCACAATCCATTGCCTTACTATTGAAATGATTATTAACGATTATAGAATTTTAGTATTTAATAGAGAAATACAACTGAAAAAGAAACAGGCATCTTATAAAAATTAGGTCTATAAGGGGCATTATTAATAATTGGGTACTCAGTGGCTATGTCCAGATAAGGTCACTCACCACGCAGCTCCAGCCGGATGAAGTCTGTGATTCCCAGGTTTTCTACTAACACTCCAGAAGGGGCTGTGGTCTTAAAAAAGAAAGACATGTCAGCACTAAGTTCTCCACGGAATGCTGGGAAATGGAGGTATGATGTTTCAGTATTGAAGGAAGCTGAATTCCAAAACGAATCTGTTTAGAAAAAGAAGGGATACAAACAGTGAGAATAGGTTCGTCCCCAACGCTGCGTCTGACCTTTCTATCCCTCAGGTCAGTCTTAATTCGAACCTGAGACTTCGCTTTCGCTGCCTACGTGCACCAGACGTTCTCTAAGACCCTGAGCCTATCATCCCTGAGCCTCTTCCTGTTCATTCCCAACACCTGATCTCTCCATCCCTCAGATTGTACCCCTCACACACACCAGGTACCCATAGGGTGCATGGCCTCTTCCACAGTGGGCGTGGCCTCGCAGAAGTAGGCGTGACCTAATTTTGGACTGAGCGGCCACAGGTAAATTAATCATACCCAGCAATCTCATATAACTCTCAGTCTCCATGCCACCTTACCAACATGAAGAAACAGTGCAAATGCCCACCATGAGAAGAGGATGATGAAAAGAGTCCAGAAGCCTCATTAGGTATTACTCACCTAAGGGACTTCTCTGATAAGAATTCAGATATGAAGTAATGAAGATGTTCAATGAACTCAAAGAAACAGTGACACAGTTATCCAATAAAATAAGGAGGACATGACGGAAACAATGGATCGGAAAATCGAGAAATTACAGGAAGAAATGAGAGCAGAAATTAGAAAGCTATGGACAGAAGTGTCATGATTGAAGGACTCGGTAGATGATATAAAAAGCTCAGTGTGTGCCCTCAACAGTAGAATGGCTACAGCTGAAGACAGAATCAGTGAGCTGGAAGATCAGCTGCACGAAGCTTATAAACAAACAAACAAACAAACGAACAAACAAAAAAACAATGGAAACAGACCTCAAAATAGCTCTAGAGCGAATCAGAGTCCTAGAGGATGATTCCAAGAGGAACAACATTAGAATCGTTGGAGTACCAAGGATCAGGGAAACAATCCCAATAAAAAAGCAACGATTAAACAAATCATTGCTGAAAAATTCCCAGAGCTGGACAATGCAGCCATTCAGATTCAAGGAGCCCAAAGGGTGGCAGCTATAAGAGACCCTAACAATAACACTCCAAGACATAGCATAGAATGGTGGATGCTGCTGATAGAGACACAATACTGCAAGCAGCAAGGTCAAAGAAGTAAATCACATACAAAGGAGCACCTCTTAGATTCAGAGCAGACCTATCAGAGAAAACCCTCCAAATCTGAAGGCAATGGTGGGATATAGTGAAAAAACTCACTGAATTGAGCACTTCACCAAGAATACTCTATCCGGCTAAACTCTCACTCAAACACAAAAGGAACGGTACACTACTTTCTGGATAAACAACAGCTCAGAAACTTCATAGACTCAAATCCAAACCTAAAAGAAGGGATAAAGGGGCTAATATAAGACAAGACAAACCCTACAAAGCACAACAGACCCTTACAGAAAGATGACACAAAGCCCCATAAAATAATTTCTCTCAATGTCAACAATCTAAATTCACCAATTAAGAGACACAGAGTGGCAAAATGGATTCAGAGACAGAACCCAACATTCTGCTGCCTACAAGAAACTCATCTGAACAGTCAGAGCAAACACAGACTCAAAGTTAAAGGACGAAAAACAATCCTGCAAGAAAAAGCTCCCTCAAAAAAGCTGGGGTGGCCATACTAGTATTCAACGACTTACATTTCAGGTTGAAAAAGATTAGAAGGGACAGTGAAGGCCATTTTCTATTCATCAAGGGATATGTACAACAGGAAGAAATCACACTCTTAAATGTATTCACACCTAATGAGGGAACAGCTAAATATTTTAAACAACTGCTAACAATTTTAAGGACATTGCTAGCAAGACCATAGTAGCCACTGGAGACTTCAACATCACATTATCACCTCTGGATCAATAAGAACAAAACTCAGCAAGGAAAAATTGGCTTTGAAGGAAGAAACAGAATAGAGAGGACTTATAGACCTAAGAGGGATTTACAGCCCAAAAAGAAAGAATACACATTCTTCTCCAGGGAACACGGAACATTTTTCAAAATTGACCACGTGCTAGGCCAAAAAAACATACCTCAATAGAATCAGGAAGACAGAAATAGTATCAACATTTTTTTCAAACCATGATGCACTGAACATAGAAGCAAATCACACACAGACATGGAGAACCAAATCAAACACCTGGAAATTAAACAACTCAACGTAGAACAATGAGGAAGGAAGTCAAGGACGAATTAAAAGGTACCTGGAAACATGAGAATGAAGACACGAGCTACCAGAACCTATGGGACGCAGCTAAAGCCACGTTAAGGGGAAAATTTATGGCTCTGCAAGCATTTCTCAGAAAGGAAGAATGCGCCCACATACACACCTTGACTTCACAGCTCAAGATCTTAGAAAAGGACCAAAAAAGGAGCCCAAACCTGGCAGAAGGAAAGAGGTCAGAAAACTTAGAGTAGAAATTAACAACATGGAAACACAAAAAACAATCCAAAAGATCAATGAAACCAAGAGCTGGTTCTATGAGAAAATAAACAAGATAGATAAACCATTAGCAAGACTCACAAAGAAAGAGAGAGAGGGAGAGAGAGAGGGAGAGAGAGAACCCCAATAAACCGAATCAGAAATGAGAAGGGGAATATCATAACAGAAACCAAAGAAATTCAAAAGATCATCAGATATTATGTTGAAAGTCAGTATGCCACAAAATAAGAGAACCTAGAAGAAGTGGATAAATTTCTGGATTCTTATAATCTCCCAAGGCTGAATCAAGAAGATCTAGAATACTAGAAGAGTCCTATAAACATCAAGGAAATTGAAACTGTAATCAAAATTCTTCCAAAATACAAAAGCTCAGGTCCAGATGGATTCACTAGTGAATTTTTCCAAACATTTAAAGAGGACCTATTGCCAGTTCTTCTCAAGCTTTTCCAAGAAATTGAAGAAACAGAAACTCTCCCAAAGTTTCTATGAATCCCATATCTCTCTAAAACCAAAAAGAAAAAAGACATCACAAGAAAAGAAGAAAAGAAAGAAAAGAAAAGAAAAGAAAAGAAAAGGCCGTTATCCCTGATGAACACAGATGCGAAGATTGTCAAGAAAATACTAGCAAATAGAATTCAAAAACTCATCAAAAATATCATTCATGTGACTAAGTGGGATTCATCCAGGGGATTCAAGGATGGTTTAACATTCAGAAATCAATCAACATAATCCATCATATCAACAAAAGAAAAGACAAAAACCGTATGATTGTATCAATCGATACAGAGAAAGCATTTGACAAGATCCAGCATCCGTTTATGATGAAAACCCTCGCCAAAATTGGGATAGAAGCCATAGTTAAAGCCATCTACCACAAGCTTATGGCAAGCATCATAATCAATGAGGAAAAACTAAGAGGTTTCCATCTAAGATCAGGGACGAGACAAGGGTGCTCACTCTCTCCACTTCTGTTCAATATAGTACTGGAAGTACTTGCAATAGTGGTCAGGCAAGAAAAAGATATTAAGGGCATTCAGGTAGGAAAGGAAGAAATCAAGCTCTCACTATTCACAGATGATATGATAGTATACTTAGAGAACCCTAAAACCTCTACCAAGAAACACCTAGAAACAATAGACTTGTATAGTAAAATTGCAGGCTATAAAATCAATACCCAAAAGTCCATGGCTTTCCTATATGCAAATAGTGAGAGAGAAGAAAGTGACATGAAAAACACGATCCCATTTACAATTATGCCCCAGAAAATCAAGTACCTAGGAATTAGCTTGACTAATGATGTAAAAGACCTGTACAAAGAAAACTACAAAAGGCTACTTCAGGGAATAAAAGAGTACATGAGGAAATGGAAAAATATCCCCGGCTCATGGATCAGGAGAATTAACATGGTCGAAATGGCAATACTCCCCAAAGCATTGTACAAATTCAATGAGATCCCTATAAGGATACCCATGACATACTTCAAAGAAACGGAGCAATTCATATGAAACAATAGCTAAAGCAATTCTTGGGAAAAAGAAAATTGGAGGAATCAACCTTCCCAACTTCAAACTTTACTACAAAGCAACAAAGGCAGAGCTGCAGACCAATGGAACAGGGTTGAATATACTGATATCTCCCCCCAAATTTATGATCATCTAATCTTTGATAAGGGAATAAGAAATGTGAAGTAGAGCAAGGAAAGCATCTTTAACAAATTGTTCCAACAAAACTGGATGGCTACATGAAAAAAATGGGTTCAGATCTCTACTAACACTATGTGAAAAAAGTAAGATCAAAATGGATTAAAGACCTCAACATCAGACTGGAATCCATTAGGTACATTGAAGACTAGGGTAGCAAAACCCTCCACAATATCAAAGCTAATGGTATCTTCAAAGATGACACGCCACTGGCCAAGCAAGTGAAAACATAGATAGACAAATGGGACTATCTTAAACTAAGAAGCTTCTGCACCTCAAAAGAAACAGTGACCACACAACAAAGAAGTCCACAGAATGGGAAAGTATATTCGCCCCATACCCATCTGACAAGGGGTTGATATCAAGGATATACAAAGTACTCGTTGAACTCCACAAGAAAAAAACATCCAACCGAATCAAAAAATGGGGTGATGAAGTGAACCGAAACTTTCTCAAAGAAGAAATCTGAATAGCAAAAAGGCACATGATAACATGCTGTACACCACTAATCATCAGGGAGATGCAGATCAAAACACAAATGAGATACCGTCTCATACCACAGAGGCCGGTCCACATCAAAAGAACAAAAGCACCTGGTGTTGGCACTGATGTGGCGAGAAAGGGACCCTCCTTCACTGCTGGTGGGAATGCCGACTGGTTCAGCTCTTTTGGAAAATAATATGGACGATTCTCAAAAGAGTAGAAATTGAGCTCCCATTTGATCCAGCAATACCACTCCTGGGAATATATCCCAGAGAGGCAAAAAAGTATAGTCGAAGTAACATCTGCAATCGTTTGTTCATTGCAGCACTCTTTACAATAGCCAGAATCTGGAAAAAAACCTGAGTGCCCGAGAACAGATGACTGGTTAAAGAA